GAAATCTGTAAATGTTGTCTTTTCTTCTCCCAACTCCTTTAAAATTGTAATTAACAATTATAACAATATATTGTTAAGTTTGTAACTAAATGGGTGAGATATGTATTACAATAATAATAGAACAAAAGGAGGAAAAAGAGAATAGAGCTATATAAAAGTAATGCTCTTATATCTCACTAGCACTGTTACTCTAAATCTGAAGTCAATCTTATAAGATACATATGTTGCTCCCCACCCGCCGCTCACACTAAGGAAGGCTCACAGCCCGCTGCGCTTGCTTAACTGCCCTGTGTCTAGCTAGCCCAGCGTCTGCCGCGCCTCAGCCAAGGCTTCAACAGACCACACCAAAATGCCATCTCAAATGGAACATGCCATGGAAACCATGATGTTTACATTTCGTAAATTTGCTGGGGATAAAGGCTACTTAAACAAAGGAGGGCCTGAGAGTACTCATGGAAAAGGAGTTCCCTGGATTTTTGGAAAATCAAAAAGACTCTCTGGATGTGGACAAAATAATGAAGGGCCTGGACCAGTGCAGAGATGGCAAAGTGGGCTTCCAGAGCTTCTTTTCCCTAACTGCGGGCCTCCTCATTATATGCAATGACTATTTTGTAGTACACATGAAGCAGAAGGGAAAGAAGTAGGCAGAAATGAGCAATTCCCCCGGCTCTGATAAGAGTTGTCCCAAAGGGTCACTTAAGGAATCTGCCCCACAGCTTCCCCCATATAAGGGTTTCATGAGCAGATCAGGACCCTTAGCAAGTGTACAAATAAAATCTAACTCCCATTGGACGAGCAGAAAAAGAAAGGTTAAATGCCAGACAAGCTTTTGATTTTTGTATTGTTTGCATCCCCTTGCCCTCAACAAATAAGTTCTTTTTTAGTTCTGAAAAAAAAAGATATATATTCTAAGCTCTAGAGCATTCATGTAAAATATAACTAAAAAAATCAACAAAGGATTTAAAATGTCACAGAGTGATCCCTCAGTATCTGTGGGGGCTTGGTTTAAAGCCAAGGTTCCAAAAGAGGAGCCCCACAGATACAGAAATCCACAGATGCTCGAGTTCCTTATATAAAATTGTATACTATTTGCATATAACCTACATACATCATCCTGTATACATTAAATCATTTTTCAATTACTTATAATACCTAATACAAGGTAAATAGTTGTTATTCTATATTGTTTAGGAAATCATGATTTTAGAAAAGCATGTACATGTTTAGTACCTACACAACCAACCATTTTTCCCCAAATATTTTTTTATCTGCAGTTGGTTGAATCCAAGATGAAGAATCCATGGATATGAAGGGTTGACTGTCATGGAAAATATTCACTTATTGCAAACATAACATGTGTAATGAAAATGTTAGATAATGTTGTTGAAAAGGTGGACAACATACATAAACAAGAGAGGGTTTCTGGTAGAGATTAAAATTACAAGAAATAATGTAATGGAAATGTTATAAATAAAACCATGATATGGGACATGAGGAATTATTTCATAGGCTCATTGGTAGACACAATATAGCTGAAGAAAGAATTAACAAACTTAAAAATAGGCCAAAGTATATGCACAGTATGTGTTTCCTACATTTACTACTGCTATGATTTGAATGTCCCTTTCAAAACTCCTGTTGCAATTTGATTGCTGGCCAGGTGAGGTGGCTCACGCCTGTAATCCCAGAGTTTTGCGAGAGCTGAGGCAGGTAGATGACCTGAGGTTGGGAATTCGAGATCAGCCTGACCAACATGGAGAAACCCCGTCTCTATTAAAAAATACAAAATTAGCCAGGTGTGGAGGCACATGCCTGTAATTCCAGCTACTCGGGAGGCTGAGGTAGGAGAATCACTTGAACCTAGCAATGTGATGAGCCGAGATGGCATCATTGCACTCCAGTCTGGGCAACAAGAGCAAAACTCTGTCTCAAAAAAATAAAGAAATCTGACTGCCATTGTAACAGGGTTGAGAGGTGGAACTTTTAAGAGGTAATTAGGTTATGACAGTTATGCTCTCAGGAATGAATTAACGTCACTACTGAAAGAGTGGATTCATTTTCATGAGAGTGAATAAATTCATGACAGGGCAAGAGAGTTCAGCCTCTCTTGCTCTCTCTCCCTCTTGCATTTCTGCCTTCCACCATGGAATGACACAGCATAAAGGCCCTTGCCAATGCCAGAACCATGACTTTGCACTTCTCAGCCTCCAAAATCATGAGCCAAATAAACTTCTTTTCTTTACAAATTACTTAGCCTGTGCTATTCTAACAACCAAAAACAGACTAAGATAGAAAATGTGCACCAAGAGTGGGGCTTTTGCTATAAGAACTGAAAATGTGGAAGTGGCTTTTAGCTGGATAATGAGCAGAAGTTGGAAGAATTTAGAAGAGCAGGCTAGAAAAATCCTAGACTGCCATAAATTGAACGTTAAAGGAAATTCTAATAAGAACTCAGAAGAAAAGAAGATATGTAGAAAAATCTGAAACTTTTGAGAGATTACTTATGTGGTTGTGATCAGAATGGCCATTTTGATTAAAGCTGAGTCAGAAAGAGGAATGTCCATCCTTTTTATAAAGGCCATCGTTTTATATGAAGTGGCAAGGAACTTAACTGAATTGTGCCTGCGTTAGTCTGTTCTCACATTGCTATAAAGAAATACCTGAGACTGGGACATTTATCAAAAAAAGAGGTTTAATTGGCTCTCAGTTCTGCAGGCTTTACAAGAAGTATAGTGGCCTCTGCTTTTCGGGAGGCCTCTAGAAGCTTCCAATCATGGCTGAAGGCAAAAGAGAAGCAGACACCTTCCAGTGGCAGGAGCAGGAGCAAGACAGAGGGAGGAGAGGCTACATACTTTTAAATGGCCAGGTCTCATGAGAACTAGCTCATGATGTATTGCAAAGACAGTACCAAGGGGAATGGGGCTAAATCATTCATGAGAAATTTGCCCCTATGATTCAATCACTTCCCACCGGGCCCCACCTACAACATTGGGGATTACAATTCAACCTAAGGTTTGGGCAGGGACACAGATTAAAACTATTATCAGTGTCCATGCCCATGGGCTTTATGGAAGGCAGAATTTAAGAGTGATGAATGAGACTATCTGGTGGAAGAAATTTCTAAGCAAAATATGGAAGGATCTGCATGGCTACTTTTAACCATATACAGTAAAATGTAAGAGAAAAGAAATAACTTAAAGATGGAATCTATAACTTCAAAAAGAAAAGCAGAAGGGAAAGATTTTGAAAATGTTAAGCCTGCCCACATGAAGAATGAAAAAGTATGTTTAAGAGAACAGACCAAGGGTGTGACCAAGTGACCATCTGCTAATGAGATTAGTATAAATAGAAGGGCTCATCAAGAAAATGGACATTTCAGAGACCTTTGAGGCTGCTCATTCCAACACAGGCCTAGAGATCCAGGAGGGCAGAATGGCTTTGGGGAATAGGCACAGGGTGCCCTTCACAGGCTAGCTGCCCAGAGGCACCTGGAGTTTCTGCTTTCTGCATTCCAGGACAGTGTTCTTTGGCTGCTCCTGGTGTAGTCCAAGTAACCCCAGGTGTGGCTTGACCCAACACTCTGGAAGGAAGGTACAATTGGTAGACTTTGGTAGCATCTATTTGGTGTTAATTCTGGTAGACTTTGGTGGCATCCATTTGGTGTTAATTCTATAGGGATGCACAATGCAAGAGCTATGAGGGCATGACTTCCTCCACCTAGATTTCAAAGGATGCCACAGGAAGCCTTCAGGCTCAGGCAGAAACTTGCTGCAGGAACAGAGCTACCATAGAAAGCCTTTACCAGAGGATACCTAGTGAAGCTGTGGGAGCAGAACTGCCCCTGACACTCGGGAACTTCAGAGCTCCTAGTGTGCAATGCCAGCCTGAAAGAACTGCAGGCACTAGACTCTAGCCTGTGAGAGCTGCTGAGTGGACTGACCACAGCAAAGGCTTGAGGGCTCAACCCCAACCCCAGGGTGCCCAGGATGTAGGACAGGGTGTCAAAGGAGATTATTTTCCAGCTTTAAGACTTAATGTTGGTTTCCCTGTTGGGTTTTATATTTCCTTAGGACCAGTCACCTCTTTCTTCTTGCCTATTCCTTTCTTTTGGAATGGGAATGTCTATTATATGCCTGTCTTACATTATATTTTGGAAAGATGTAACATTAGTTCACAAGCTTATACAGGTGAAGAGAAATTTTCCTTGGGATAAATCATGCCTTGAGTCTCACCCATACCTGATTTAGATGAGACTCTTGACTTTGGACTTTTGAGTTGGTGCTGGAATCAGTTAAGACATTTAGCAGGTATGGGGATGGGATGAACGTATTTTGTATGTGACAAGGATGTTACTTTTGGGGAACCAGGGGTGGAATGATATGAATGTCCCCTCCAAAACTCATGTTGAAGTTTAATTGCCATTGTAACATTTTTGAGAGGTAAGACCTTAAGAGGTGATTAAGTCATGAGGGATATCCCCTCATGAATGAATCAATGCTGTTTTCACAGGAGTGGGTTTTTTATTCCGAGGGTGGATCTGTTATAAAAGTGCATTTGACCCTCTCTTGCTCAATCACTCTCACCCTCTCTTGCCCTTCCACCTTCCACCATAGGATGACACAGCACAAAGGCCCTTGCCAGATGCCCGTGTTACGCTCTTGAATCATAAGCCAAATAAATTCTCAGTGTCCAGTATCATAAGCCAAATAAATTTATTTTTATTATAAATAATCCAGGCTAGTATTATTTATATTCTGTTGTAGTAACAGAAAATGGACTACCACTATTTAATTATGACTGTAATAGAACTTAATTATAGAAATCTATCTGATTATTTAGCTCTTATATCATTTTTTCTAGTGTAGTTTTTTAAAAATATATATTTTTTATTGCTCTTTAGGTTCTGGGATACATGTGAATAACATGCAGGATTGTTGCATAGGTACATACATGGCAATGTGTACCTCCCCATCACCTATATCTGACATTACCCCCATGTTATCTTGCCCCAACTCCCTACCCCACACTGTCCCTCCCTTACTCTCCCCCACAGACCCCAGTGTATGATGCTCTGCTCCATGTGTCCATGTGTTCTCATTGTTCAACACCCACCTATGAGTGAGAACATGCGGTGTTTGATTTTCTGTTCTTGTGTCAGTTTGCTGAGAATGATGGTTTCCAGGTTCATCCATGTCCCTACAAAGGACACAAACTCATCGTTTTTTATGACTGCATAGTATTCCATGGTGTATATGTGCCACATTTTCCCTGTCCAATCTATCATTGATGGTCATTTGGGTTGGTTCCAGGTCTTCGCTATTATAAATAGTGCTGCAGTGAACATATGTGTGCAAGTGTCTTTATAATAGAATCTTATATCTTATGTTTCCAACAGAAGTTGATTTTTAAAAAATCTAGTCTCCAGCATTCAGATCAATACTTAGTATTCTCAGAGTTTTATGTCTTTCCAGTCTGATGGATGTGGTGTAGTGAATGGCTAAGTAAACTCTGGCATGTCATTTAAATTCTCTGAGCCTCTATTTTCTCATCTGTTAAAGGATACATCTCTGGGTTAATGAATTAGAAAAATGGTAGTCTTTCTGGTTGGAACAGATCCTCATTAACTGGTCTAGGAAACTATGGGCACCTTTGTTTAAGAAAAAGTCTTCCCTTCCTCCAACCAATGCAGTCCCACCAGGGCTCATTGGTTGGTTTACAGAGCATGGACTGGCTCAATTTAAAGCCCATTCCCCACCTTGTCTGGTGCTTTAATCCAATGCAATCTACCCAGTCCATACATGATGGTTGTTGCTCCTCACAAGACAAGACAACAAGGCATCCTCACACAGTACGCTTTACAATTCTCAGTAACCTCATCGTCCTACTGCTGAACGGCTCAATTTTCTCACTTACTTTAGGGCTGGCAGGATCTGCTAATTGTTGTTGTTTAGGTAAACTTCTTCCTTATAAGCCCTTTTTCCGATATTATGTGAAATTCCAGCAGTTAGATTACCAAACAGCCAATCCCTGAAGTTGCTAGAAATCTGGGAGTCAAAAAGATAGCCTCTTATTTTTATTTTTCTAATTCTGCCCACAGAGAAGATATAAATGATGGTATTGAGACTGTTGGACTTGAGAGATGAAGAATCGAAAGACATTATAAGGTTTGAAATCTATAGCTGGATACAGTCTGAACAGACATATTTGTTTTAAACAGCTGTAAAATACAGAATGCTCTCTAGAATTAGTCATTTAGTTCTTATTTGCTCCTGTCCCTATGCCCATCACAAGGATGGGCAGTGAAAGAAATATGCTGAAGCTTAACAAAAGTAACTTTCCCCCCATTTTTATCCTCAAATATTTTTATCTTCTTTACACCACAAAGATTTGCCAAACGAGAAGCATTCCAATCCTCATGTCACCATTCTAGACTAATTCTGTGACAAAACATAAACATGTTACACTTAGTTTGCAGTATCCGTGTAAAATAACATGTTACACTTGCTTTGCAGTATCAGTGGGGCAGAGAAAAAGAGCCTTAGGATATCCAAAATATATATGGTCATCTTGTCAAAAAATTGCACAAAAATAGAGGAAAGGACTTAGCAACAGTTGATGAAGGACCAAAGTGAGCATCCCTACCTTTGTACTCTGATTAGGACACCTCTCTCAGTCCACCTCCCTCCTCAATTCCTCCCTTCTCCAGAAAATACATCTTCAGAGGTGGACTATAAAGAAATTAATTGAACTAATAGAACTCTTAAAAATATGCATTTCCTTTCGCTAGTCTCTCCCAAATCACAAGAATATGTTCAACAGTGGAAACAGGCAGGAACTAAGGCTACGAGATTCTCCTGAGCAGAGAATGGATTTAACTTTTACCAGCCTAATCTACTTCCATTGTGTGACTGGGAATTGTACACGCTCTTTGACTTTTGTAATGATGATAAGAGAAGAGAGAAGTTAGAGTTCTCTAGGTGACTTAATAATTGACAGTGAGGCTTATACCACCTAACACGGACTTCGAGAACAGCTAATCTTTGAGGAGTTGACAGCAGCGTTTCGCTCCATCTTGGAGGACCTCTTTGACTTTGTCATTCCGGAGAGTAAAGATGAAAAGGTTCAGGAAGGGGGTTAACACAGAAACCAACAGGGAAACTATCTTATTGTACTCGGCTCCCTGCGTTTGCTTGGGTTTCACGTAGAGAAACAAGCAGCTGCCGTAGCCGATCACAACACAGGTGAAGTGGGAGGCACAGGTGGAGAAGGCTTTCCTCCGGCCAGAGGCTGACGGGATCTTGAGGATGGTGGAGATGATGTAGGTGTAGGAGACGATTGTAGGGATCAAAGAACCAATGAGAATAACAACAGCCATTAAGAAAAGGACAAACTCTGTGAAAAGAGTGTTGTCACAGGACAGCTTGAGCAATTGCCCTCGGTCACAGTAAAAATGGTCTAAGGAATTTGATTTGCAGAAGGTAAACTGAAATGTGGCATAGACCGGCCAGATTTCAGAAAGAAATCCAAACACCCATGACACAATTACCACCCAAATACAGGTACTGCTGTTCATAATGATGTTGTACCTCAGAGGGTTACACACAGCCACATAACGGTCCACAGCCATCACTCCAAGTAATGCAAACTCCGTGGTCCCCACAGCGAGGTACAGGAAAAGTTGAGCAATACATGCAGACAAAGACACTGTCTCCATCCCAGGGAGCAGCAATCCCCAAAGCATCATGGGGACAATTATGGTTGTGATCAGTATCTCTAGGGCAGAGAGGTGGCCAAGGAAGAAATACATAGGGGACTGCAGACGTTTATCCACACAGACAATCACGATGATGACTGTGTTTCCCATTAATGTCACCAAGTAGAAGAAAAAGAATATAGCGAAAAGAATCTGGTGTAATTCTTGGGACCCAGGGAAGCCTACAAGGTGGAATTCAGTGGCACTAGAGTGGTTATCCATCATTTAGTCCTTAATTCTGCTTCTTTTGAAGCCCAGAGATTAAAACAGAGGTGGCATTGCTCCACATGGTCCTGCTCTCTAGAGAGAAGAAAGATTAGGATAAGAAACTCTTTCCAACCTGAGAATTAGGTGACATGTTCCTGCTACTGTGCTCAGCACATAGCTTGAGGGACATGTTGTCACCCCAAGTCTACATGTTAGGCTCTCACTTCCCTGTGTAACCAGCCCCCTGGAGTGGGTGAAGACATCTTCTTCTATTGGTGGTGAAATACCTTCCTTGTCTTTTCCCCACTAGATGTAGCTTTTCTCAGCGGGGAGAGGCTAAGACCTTTTAAATAGGCCAGTTTTGAAGGTGAGTCAATCAGGTCCCTCTGGTCTTGGAGTTGTCCTAATTTCTCTGAGGTTACTTGTACCAGATGACATAAAGGCATCTGGCACAGATTTATACGATGTTCAAAGGATGGAACTTTAAACCCCAGCTCTCATCTGTAATGGTAATGTATGAATCCACCTTAGGGCCAACAGAAAATCCCTGCTGTTCCAGATTTTAAAATCTCCATTTTACAGAGCAGTAAGATCTCTAAATGAGAACTCTGGAGCTTGGGGTAATTTCCCAGAGCAGATCCATTCTTCTCTAATTCCATTTTCCTTCCAAAGTTGCAGAAGGAAGGAAAGATGGCACCTGGCACAGATTAGGAATGGATCTGGGACTGCCAGCTGTTAAGGATGCCTGGCTCTCAGCCTGTCGCTTCATCCCATTATTCAAATGTCACCCTTTCCAAAGACTCTTTCCAATCACTCTGCCCAAAACAGAAAGACACACTCATTATTAGACTTCCATTTTTTTTATAACAGTTGTTATTATTACCTGATATTATTTACTTAATTCCTTCATTTAACAATAAACAAATGTAGTCATGAACAGAACAAAGAAAATTCCATGCTCTGTGGAGCTTATATTCAAGCAAGATGTGGGGGCTAGACCACACACAAGACACATAAGAAAAATACGTAATAGCCTAGTTTAATCATGCCACAGGGAAAAAAATTAAGCAAGGAAGAGGAAGAGGAAGTTTAAGTTTATTTATTATTTACCTATGACATTAGAATATAAACTTCATAAGGGCTAGGACATATCTTCACTATTGTATTCTGAGGCTGGCACATAAAATTTACATACATAAGTTAAGTAGTTATATATTATATATAACGTTTATATAGCTAGATATTATATAATACATACCATAAATATATTATATATTAAATTATATATTAATTCATCACAAGGGAACCCAACTAATAGCTGTCTGAGTCAAGATTTGAACCCAGGTCTGTCAGATTTCATCACAAACACAGCTAACTACCATACCTTATATTATTTATTATATTATTATCTTATCTTACTTACATAAGATATATAAAATATATATCATATATATTTTATTCAGGAGATATTTAAATATATAAGATATATATGTCATATATTTATGTATAAGATGTATATGTATGATTAAATAATCCTGTTCTGGCCAGGGCAGGTTGGGCCACATTCCCTCAATCCTATTCCAGTTGGTTTTCTTTCCTCCTTCACATTACCATTTTCTTTCCCTCCCTTCCCTTCCTTAGGTAACCCCTTCCCTGTCTCTGTCACTGTTTTACTAATGGTTAACAAAGCTTCAGGGGCAGGATTGATGGGAAAGCTTGGTGGTCTGCTTTTCCACAACCTCTGCCTAACCAGCACAAGATGAGGAACCATGAGTGAGAAGGACCCCGACTATCAGGGAGTTGTGTCTATGTCTAGCATTGGGTCTGAGAGGAGCTGGAAGTGCTCTCTGCTATGCAGGAAGGATTTGGAGCTTAGCCTATACACTCTGCTGCTCCCCTAGCCCACACTTCGAGATCTAGAAAATAGGTAGGCCCAGACCTGCAGTCCCACCCTAACCTGCTCTCACCCTCTCCTTCACAGAAGAGACCCCTTAGGAAGACACTCACCTCTATGGAGGGGCTTCGCTGCCCCTTCTAATTTTCTCTAGGGCTCCACTGAGGCTACTTCCTGTCTTGCTGGTGCTGAGCCATGCACAGGGGCCAGGGCAAATTGCTGCCATCTCTACTCATGGCGAAGAAGGAAACTCTCCTCACAGAAGAGCTTAGAAGAAGCCCAGAAATAAGTGTTGTTCAAAATTGGGGGTCCTCTCTCTGCTCCCCTCCCTCTTCCCTTCTTCCCAAAGGTACTTAGTCACTGAGGTACCTCTTCTTAATTAGCCCACATTCAGGGAGTCCCCAGGCAATCAGTCTAGTGGGAGCAGAACGAACTCAAAGTTGTTCCCATTTTTGACCAATTAAGTTTTAGGACTTTTGAAAGGTTTTGTTTGGTGGGAAAACCTGAAATCTTACCAATCAGGGACTTCTTCATACCAGGGCTGCCTTCCTGCAAAGCCTCAAGTCTAGGTCTCCGGATGTCTCCAAGTCTAAACAGTTAACCCCCTCTGCCCTTAGGCTTTTCTCAAGTTTTTCCAGTTTGGAGCCCAAATCAATCTCCTTCCCACAATAGGAGACACCACAATTGGCCTCTAAAACATGCACGAGTATCCCAAAAACGTCTGCATATTGGTCTTGATCTAAACCTTAACTTCATCAAAATCCTCTAAAAAGCCTGATGACTCCTTCATTCATTTTGAACAGACTCCTGCTCTTAGTCCTGTAGACCCTACAGAATACTGTAAGAGGTTCCACCCCTAAATCGAACTCTATTCTGTGCTATTGCCTCAGGTTTTCACTCCTCTGAACGTATGTGCATCTGTATGCATTTGAGCAAGATTCTTCCAGCCATTTTTTTCCCCATGGCGTGTCCCTGATTACCAGCTGGACCACTGTAAAGCAGAGAGAGCATAAGGGCAGCTTATATACGCAGTTATGTTTGCAACCTGGAGGAACTGACAAAATGTAAATTGGAAATCTGTCTAGTGATGGAGTAAGACAGTAAAAGTAGGAATTATAAAACATTTGTCTGCATTTTGGTTTTCATTTTAAGTATTTTTAAGTATACCTGTTAAATCTGAGAACTTCCATTGGTGCCTAAGGATATAAATTGGGAATAATCTTTCTTCCAATTCTTTAAATTGACCAAGCCCAACTACTTGCCATACAATTTTAGAGAAATTTTCCAAGCATATATCTCCATATCCTTTTTTGTAAAGGCTGTGAAAATCTGTTTGCAACCTTTCTTTCTCATTTAACAACATATAAAATATAACTTTCCATATCAGCACATATTACTCTACCTCTCTTTTTTCACATAGGATTCCATTATGCAGATGTTTCATTCTTTACTAGATAGCTCTCTATTAATTAGTTTTCATTGTTGTTTCCATTTTTAATTATTAAAAAATGATGCTATAAATATTCTTAGATCTTTGTAAGAACATAAACAATTATACTTCTGAAAAAAATTCCCAGAGTTAGAATGGCTGGGTCAAACGCAGGTGTATTGAAGCTATCACCTTTTATTGGCACAAAATTACACTCCAAACATTTTGTATCAATTCACACAATTACTAAGACTGTATAATACAAGGGGTCTTGTTTTCCTGGTCTGTTATAAGTGGAAGGCATAATTAAAATTTTAAGTTTAAATTGAAGAGAATAAAAATAAGACACCTTAAAAGGGAAATCAATTAACAACCTTGATGAAATGGAAACATTTTTGAAAGATAAAAATGACCAAAACTGACTCAAAAACAAATGTAACAACTGAATATTCCCAAATATGTTAAATAAATTGAATTCACAATTAAAAATCTTCTCACACAGAAAACCAGATGGCTTTACTGGTATATTCTACCAAATATTTAAGAAAGAAATAATACTAATCCTACAAAATATCACCTAGAATATTGAGGAGAAGTGAACACTTTCCAATTTATTTTATAAGGCCAGAATTATCTTGGTACCAACAACATCACAGGAAAATAAATCTGTAAACCAGTATCTCTCATGAACATAGATATAAAATTCCTTTAAAAATTAGCAATATGTAAGTAGTATAGTAAACTAGAATAAGATAGTGATTTTTATCTCAAAAATGCCAAGTTGGTTTAACATTAGGAGATTAATCAAAGTAATTCACCATATTAACAAAATCAAAGAGAAAAATCATGTGATGATTTGGATAGGGGCAGAAAAGACATCTGACCAAAAAAATCAACATTCATTTCTTAAAAACTGGCAACAGGCCGGGCGCGGTGGCTCATGCCTGTAATCCCAGCACTTTGGGAGGCTGAGGCGGGTGGATCACAAGGTCAAGAGATCGAGACCATCCTGGTCAACATGGTGAAACCCCGTCTCTACTAAAAATACAAAAAATTAGCTGGGCATGGTGGCGCGTGCCTGTAATCCCAGCTACTCAGGAGGCTGAGGCAGGAGAATTGCCTGATCCCAGGAGGCGGAGGTTGCGGTGAGCCGAGATGGCGTCATTGCACTCCAGCCTGGGTCACAAGAGCAAAACTCCGTCTCAAAACAAACAAACAAACAAAAAACAAAAACAAACAAACAAAAAAAAACTGGCAACAAAAAGATCTTCCTCAAACCAGTAAACAGAATCTATTAAAAACTACAACAACAACAACAGCAAACCTGTCACTAACATCAAACCTACTGGTGAAAGACTTAACACTTTTCTTCTAAGATTGGGAACAAGGAAAGGCTATCTTCTCTAACCATGTCTACTCAACGTTGTAGTGGAAGTTTTAGCCAATTCAATAAAGCAAGAAAATGAAATAAAAAGCATACCATTAGGAAATAAAAAAGTAAATTTTTATTTGCAAATGACACAATCTCTGTATGTTGAAAATCCTAAGAAGTCCATGGGAACTAATAAGTGTGATTATCAAGGTCACAGGATAAAAGGTCAATATACAAATAAATCTATGGTATTGTTATACACTAGCAATAAACACTGGAAACGTTAATAAATAATACAATTTATAATAACATTCAAAATATGAAGAAAACTAAGGAATACATTTAACAAGCTATATGTAAGACCTATCACTTAAAACTATAAAAAAATTCCTGAGGGAAATTAAAGAAGACCTAAACGATGGTGAAATATTCTATTATCATGAATCAGAATATTCAATTTTGCTAAAATGTCTATTCTCTCCAAATTAGCTTATAGGTTCAATGCAATTTCAATCAAAATCCCAAACATCTGTTAACATCAAAAAGCTGGCCCTAAAACTTATCTGCAAATGTGAAGGACATAAATAACAAAAACAATTTTGAAAAAGAAGAGCAGAGCTGGAGAGTTCACAATACCTAATTTCAAGACTTACTATGAAGCCGCAGTAATCAAGACAGTGTGGTTTTGGCATAATATCATGTAGATCAATGAACAAAAGACAAACAAAATACAGAGTTTAGTCACAGATCCAGACAGATATCTTCAACTGATTTTAACCACATTAAGTGTTGATGAAGATGTGGAGCAACTGGAATCTTCATACATTGCTGGTGGGGATGTAAATGGGTACAAATAACAACAGTTTAATATACCCTTACCATACATACCTGCAGTTTTACTCAGATATTTTCCCAAGGCAAGTGAAAACATAGTTTCAAGTATAAAAAACATGAATGTTGATAGTTTTATTCATAACAAGCTGCAAAATGACCCAAATGACAATTAATAGATGGGCAGATAAATAAATTGTGGTATATTCATACGGTAGAGTACTACAGGCAATAAAAAGAAATGAACTGTTTATAGATGCATCATCGTGGGTCAAGGATGAGTCTCTAAAAGGTTATGTTAAGACAAAGAATCCACACATAAAGGTCAATTCTTTATTATTTAATTAAGAAACTAAAGAAATAAAAAATTTAATCTGTAGTAACAAAAGGCAAATGGTTGCCTGAGACTGAAATTGGAAATAGAAATTGACCTGGCAGGGGCACAAACGAACCTTTTGGGTGATAAACAAGTTCTATAATTCAATTGACGAGGAGATTAGATGCATATTAATCTGTCAAAACTCATCACAACTTGCACTCGAAATGGCTGCACTCTACTCCTCAAAATAATCAAGATATAGAATCAACTCAAGTATCCATCAATGGATAAATGAATAAAGAAAATGTGGTATATATACAATGGATAGAATTCAGT